GGAAACTAAGATCCCGCAAGCTGTGCAGCGCAGCCAAAAAAAAAAAAAAAAAAAAAGGCAAATAGTTGCTGACAGGGAAACCAAAAAGGCAGCCCAGTATCTGGGGCTCAGACAGTCTGCATTTAAATCCTGGCTCTGGGTTACCTTGGGCGAGTTACTCTCTCTGCGCCTCAATTTCCTCAAAGCGGAGAAGAGTGATGACAATGCTGGTGTTTTGAGGATTAAGGGAGCTAAGATATTTGAGAGACAAAGAGGCGATTATAAAACAGCGCGACAAAGCCGTGATGGAGCCAGCACAAGTAAGAGCAGAGGATGGCTACGGAGCCTGGTTACACGGGTTCCAGGCAAAGGGAACAGCATGGGCAAAGGCATCCCACAAATACTGATTGAGCACCTACTCTGTGCCGGGTACTGGAGACACAGCAGCAAACAAGACAGGCAAAGATCCCTGTTCTCGCCAAGATTCTACTCCAGTAGGGAGAAGATGGTGCAGAATTTGAAGCTCAAATCGGGAGGCCAGGAGATGAGCTGGATATTTTGTTTGCCCCTCCAGGTCCTCTCTCCCCACTTCTCCATCGGCTCTGTGCTCCGGGAGGCTGACCCCTGCAGCCTCCACCTCCCAGAAGCCCCCGCCCTCCAGCTTCCAGCAACGTCTGGCCAGTGAGTGTGACCACAGGAGACTGGGGTGGGGGGCGGACAGAGGAAAGAGTCTGGCGTATTGAATCCCCTGGTTCCCTTCCTGCCAAGCAATGGTTTCACGGTGGCAACGTTCCTCTCCTGACACTGGTGGCTCCTCTGGGCATCTCCCCAGGATGTCAAGCCCAGGATGACCGGAAGCAAGTGTAAAAGCAGTGGTGATGTAGCTGGTACTGTACTGTACTTTTCAAGGTACTGTACTATACGATTAAAAATGTTTTCTTTATTTTTCGTGTTTGTTTGTTTTTTATGTGTTATTTGTGTGAAAAGTATTATACACCTATTACAGTACAGTACTATATAGCCGATTGTGTTAGTTGGGTACCTAGGCTAACTTTGTTGGACTTACGAACATGATCTCAGAACAGAACTCATTTGTATAGAGGGAACTTAACTGTACAGTCATATTCTGAGGTCCTGAGGGTGCGGACTTCAACTTATGAATTTGTGGGGTGGGGTGTGGGGGGACATCGTTCAGCCCATAACCACGTGTGAGCAGATAAAAGACCTGGTCAGGAAGATCATTGAGGGTGGGCTGGTTAGAGCAAGACAGAGAGGCAGAGAAATCCACCAGCAAGGTTCAGGTGAGCACATTGTGGGTCTGACTCGGCCCGTCCTTTGAAGTTTGCCAGAGCTTTCAAAGAAATGGATCTCAAAGAAAACAGCTCCGGCCGCGAGGCACATCCTCCGCTCGGAGGGCAGGAGGCAGTGATGGCCACCTGGGTCACCGGAGCCCTTTGTTAGTGTGAATGGCCCGCTTGAAGGGAAATCGATCCTGGCTAAGCACAGAGCAGCTGCTCCCAGCCAAAGCTGCTGTAGAGAGGCCCTTTGCCCTCTCTCCACCAGGGCTGGGACAGGAGCCAGCAGGAGCCCGAGGATTGTTCTACCAGGTCATGGATCCCAGAAGGACCTTCAGTCAGCATGCATTGTGACTGCCGGCTCCTGCACTGGTCCAAGGTGGAGTTTCAGCATCACCTCCAGTCTTGGCACTCAGCAGAGACCAGCTCTACATGTAATGATGATCATTATCACCAGCCTTGCCGAGTGCCGTCCGTGTGCCAGGTCCCATGCAGGCATGTGCGTGCGTGAGGGACTTCCTAGTGCCACCTCCCAGCCATGTGACCTTGGGCAAGGGCCTTGAACCTCACTGTGCCTCGGTTTCCTGTATATAAAACAGGGCCGGGACTCCCCTGGTGGCACAGTGGATAAGAATCCGCCTGCCAATGCTATGCAGGGGACACGGGTTCGATCCCTGGTCCGGGAAGATCCCACATGCCGCGGAGCAACTAAGCCCGTGTGCCACAACTACTGAGCCTGCGCTCTAGAGCCCGCACGTCACATCTACTGAGCCTGTGAGCCACAACTACTGAAGCCCGCACACCTAGAGACCGTGCTCTGCGACAAGAGAAGCCACCACAATGAGAAGCCCTCGCACCACAACGAAGAGTAGCACCCACTTGCCACAACCAGAGAAAGCCCGTGCGCAGCAACGAAGACAAAACAAACAAACAAAACAACAGGGCTAACAGCAGCACCCACCTCTTAGGGTTGTGGTGGAGGTAAATGAGTGCCTGAGCACATAGAGCTTCAAACCATACGTCGTAAGAACTGTGGAGGCTCAGCTCCTGATAGGATCACCTCCATTCACCTCCCGACAGTTGTGGGATGTAGGGGGCGTCCTAAGCTGAAGGTCAGGGAGGAAAGGCAGGGGGCAGAGCCTACCATGCCATCAGTCTGTTGAGGGACAGAAGCTATGCTAGATGGTTCCATGGAGGGAATTTAATATGGGGAGTGTGGTGCCAAGGAGCCAGAAGGGCTGGATGGGGTAGGTGCGGAAGGTGAAGTGATCAAAAGAATAGCAACTGTAAGAAGCTGCAGTGTTGGGAGCTTCCCTGGCGGTCCAGCGCTTAAGACTCTGTGCTTCCACTGCAGGGGGCACGGGTTCCATCCCTCGTCGGGAACTAAGATCCCATATGCCACGCGTCGTGACCAAAAAAAAAAAAAAAGAAGAAGAAGAAGAAGAAACTGCTGCAGGGTGGCAGGGCAAAGGGGGTTAGTGGAGCTGGACCCAAGGAGGGGACAACAAGGCCACTGCCTGCAGCAAATAAACAGGGGTAGAAATCCCCTGACTTCTCTCTTCCTCCCGCCTCCAACTCCCGTCATGGCTGCCCATTGGCCAAGTCTAACAGGAAGCCAGTGAGCAAGGGAACCTGGGAAATGTAGTTTTCAGGGGTCAACCCCCCTCTGATACCAAAAACAAGGGGAGGGCAAGGAATGAATCTGAGGGACACCATGTAAATGACCAGCCCACAGGACTCAGGGCCCAGCCTGCCTCTCTCTAAAGTTGTCTTAACTACGAAGCTACACACTTAGGGAGGATCTGTTTCAGTCAACCGTCCCATTTCATGCCTCACAATAATAAGTCTTTGAAGGAACAGTGATAATGCTGGATCCTTCTTATCCATAGTTAAGAGTCACCTAAGTTTATGAGAATTCCCTGGTGGTCCAGTGGTTAGGACTTGGCGTTTTCACTGCAGGGGCCTGGGTTCGATCCCTGGTCGGGGAACTAGGATCCCGAAAGCCATGCAGCATGGCCAAAAAAAAAAAAAAAAAAAGAAGAAGAAGAAGAAAGAAAGAACGAAAAGAAAAAGTCACCTAAGTTTAAAAGTCACCTCCTCAAGAAGCCTCCCCTGATTACCTCTTTAAAGAAGATCTTCTCAGTCCCCATCTCCCTGCCTGCTACTTGTCGTGGAAGAAATCATACTATATACATTTGTTAGCTGGGGTAGTGTATGAGAAGTGTACAAATACAAGGACCTTATATCTTGGTCACTACCATGTTCCCAATGCCTAGAACAGCACTTGGCACATAGTAGGTGTTCAATAAATATTTGTACAATATTTTTTAAACCCTGACGTGGTGCTGCTTGCTCTGTATATTAAATAGTAGAGCTAGAATTACAAACCCAGTTCCGTGGCGCTGTAGAGATGCTGGTGTTTCTACTCTGCCATCCTCCTGCCAACTACCCCAGGGCTGTCCAAACTCTCTGCATCCTTCAGGGTTCAGAGTAAACATTACCGCCTCTGAAAAGCCTCCCCCATCCCCGCAGACAGGTCAGAATCCCCTTTGTGTATGTCTCCAAAATCCCTACCCCTTCCCTCTTACAAGGTTCTTATATCTGATACATTTTCTTGCCTGGATGAGTGTCTGCGCGCCCTATCAGACCTTGAGCTCCAAAAGGGTGGAGTTGGGTGCTCGTTCCCGCTGAGGTCCCAACACCAGCACATGCTGGACAGAGTAGGCAGGCATCACCAGGACATGAAGGAGTAAATGAATGAACGAACAAATGAATGAATGAATGAGTGCCTCCTGCCCACTCCAAGTTCTCCAGGTGACCTCTTTCTCCCCCACCCTTCACATATTCTCTGTTCTATTCTCTCAGGGTTTCCTCCCTTCTTCCCGCTCCTCTCAGGGTGGATACAGGGGCTTTGGGTTTTGAAGGGGGCATGGGGTCTAAGGCAGTTGAATGTAGCTCAGAAGCACATAGACCCCAGATCCTAACGACTTGAGTTCAAATCCTGGCTCCTCTGGTTTCTAGCTGTGTGACCTTGGCAAGTGATTTAACTTCTCTGTGCATCCATTTCCACATCTGCAAAATGGGCATGACGGCAGTGCCTTCCTACAGGACCATGGGAGAATGAAATGAGCTACTCGGGTCTGTTTCAGGGCTGCATCTCTTCCTCACAGCTCCCTTCTGCAATTCCCAGGCAAGTCTGGGCAGTAGAGAGCTGAGTCTCGAGCAGTTAATGAATCCGGAAAGGATCTCAGCTGTGTGAGGGGAGCCCCAGTGCCAAGTTGGCCTGATTTTCATCCTGAGAGAGCTGAGAACAGGTTCTGGTGTCAGACATCTGCGCTGTGATTGGCATAAATGCCTGGTGCTCCCATGACCCTCTTTGTTGGAGCCTGGGGGTGTAGGCAATGCTCTTGGGGCTCTGCCTAAATCTTCTTATAATGGGGCACACACACCCCACAGCTGCTGAGAGTGGGGGCTCACAGCTAGCACTGGTGACCTTTTCTGGAGACCTGCCCTTGGCTCTGGGGAGCTACCACACACTGGAGATGCCTCGGAGGCATCCCCCACCCCCAGGAGCAGCCAATGATTGATTGACGCAGGGGTCCAAAAGCCCATCCTTCTGCGGTACAATTTACGTTCCAGAGCTCCCCCCATCCCTGTGGATCAGGCCAAGCCTGGAATGTACCCGAGTCCCCTTCCCTGGTCCCACTTCCCTTACCCTCCACTCACAATTAGTCATGTGCTCCAAATCCCTGTCTTGGGTTCTGCTTCTCAGGAACCCAACCTAAGATGGGGGAAAACAATGAACATTCAACAGAAGAGGGTATTTATGTGGGTGTCCCTTCAAAGCTCATCTTCACACCCAGGCACCAGGTTCTGTCATTTCCACCTACATACGCCATCTATCAACCAATCCTGATAACAGCTCTCGCGTCAAAATGTATCCCCAGTTCTGCCCAGTCCACCCAACCTACAATGTGCAGCCCCTATCACTCCCCAAGGCTCGCCCCTCTGCTGCGTTTTATTGCATAAAATGTACTGCCCCTTGACCCTACATTAAAATTTATCTTGCTTCCTCTGTCTGCCCCGCGATGCTGTCAACATTCCAAGGGCAGCACCCAAAGGATGTTTACTGCTTTGCTCATTGCTGTGTCCTCAAGCCAGAATGGTGCCTGGCACCCAGTAGGTGCTCAATAAACATTTCTGGAAATAAAGAATGAATCCTTTAAATGCATTCATTTGGAGACAGCTTTAACTGTCTCTTTGTCTTACCTCTTTACAGTCGGAATCTATGCACTTTTCCCGCTCTGGATGGGCATCTTCCTGGTGCAGTCGTCTCTGCCCTGGTACCCTGGATCCCACCCTCGCCGCCCACAGTATGTTCCCCCTGCAGCAGCCAGAGGGCGCCTGTGAGCACAAGTCAGATCATATTCTTCCTCTGCTCAGAAGCCTCTATGACTCCCACCTCACTTGTAAAAGCCAAAGTCCTCCTGCAGCCCACAAGGCTCTGCACAGTCGGTCCCTGTCCCATCCCTGCCCTCGCCTCCTCCATGCTCCCCCTCACTCACTGCTCCAGCCACACAGGCCTCCTCTCTGTTCCTACAACACCCCGAGCACGCTTCTATATGAGGTTTTGCATCCGTTATTCCCCTTGCCTGGAATGTCCTTCCAACTCCTTTATTTAATGTCATTGTTTCAAAAGGCCTCCTTGACGCCCCTTCTGCTCCAGTCAGAACTACGAATGTCTCAGCACCACCCGTTGCCTTCTTTTCTTTATCAGCTTCCAACACACTACATCATTTATGCATTAATGTTTTGTTCCCCTCCAGAATGTCAGGCAGGGATCTTCATCTGTTTTTATTCACTGCTGTTTCACCAGTACCTAGAATAGTACCTTGACCACAACAGGTATCCATTTTTTACTTTAAAAAATTCTCACAACTCCCGGGACTTCCCTGGTGGCGCAGTGGTTAAGAATCCACCTGCCAATGCAGGAGACACGGGTTTGATCCCTGGTCTGGGAAGATCCCACATGCTGCGGAGCAACTAAGCCCGTGTGCTACAATTACTGAGCCCATGCACCACAACTACTGAAGCCCAGTGCCTAGAGCCTGTGCTCTGCAATGAGAGGAGCCACCGCAATGAGAATCCCGCGCACCTCAACGATGGGTAGCCCCAGCTAGACGCAACTAGAGAAAGCCTGCGTGCAGCAACAAAGACCCAACGCAGCCAAAAATAAATTAATTAATTTAATTTAAAAAATTTCTCACAACTCCCTATGAGGCAGGGACTCTGAGTGTCCCCCTACACAGATAAGGACACCGAGGCCCACTGAGGGGAGACGCCATGCTTGGCTTGTGGTTAAGGGAGTGGTCCACAGGCATCTCTTTGGGGGTGTGTGATTGTGTGCGACTTTGTGCTGTGTGTGCGGGTCTGAGCCTAAATGCCTGTATCTGTCTGAACGTGGACACAGGAAGAGGCCGCCTGGACATGTTCAGGCCGATTTTGCAAGTGCGTGTCTCTGTGTGGAAAGGAGGCAATGGGCTAGATCCCAGGCAGGTGCGAATGTGTGTCTGTGTGCTCAGCTGTGTGGGAATGTGTGTGTGTGTGTGTGTGTGTGTGTGTGTGTGTGTGTGTGTGTGACAGTGCACTAGATGATGCGGATTCACGTATCCACAGCCAAGCTGTGTGTGTGTGGTGGGGGGGGGGGGGGGGGGGGGGAGTGAGAAGGGGTAGCTCTGGGAGGCTTGGATGGGGCTGGACCTGAAGTCGAAGGAATGTGGTGGGTGAGGGAAGAGCCCGTCAGGCACGGGCCTGATTATTTATAGACGGATCCTGGTTCATAGATTCCCAATTTTTTTTTTTAATCTCCCTCACTGTCAGGCCCTTATAAATATTCATGAGTTTCCTGCCTTGGAATATTTAAGTAGTCAGAGGAGGAGTGGGGCGGGCCGTGAGAGGGGAAGGAGAGGGTCCTGGTGGCGATGGGAGGACACGTGGATGGAGAGGACTGGGGTCTCTCTGGAATCGCCTTCTCCCCTCTGGGTTCCTTTTCCAAGCTGCAGTTGGCAAGATGGGGAAGGTTCTCGGCCAATACGGAGATCCCCCAATGCCTATGATTCTTCTTCCGCAGGGGGAAGAGAAGGTATGTATGCTGTTTTCTCAGCTCTGACTACAGCACGGGCTTGGAAACTTGTTACCCTGAGACTCCGCAGCTCAGGAGGGAGCAGAAGATCCCTCAGATGTGCCATGAAACAATGGAGCTCTGGAGGCAAACTATGGGCAGGGCACGTGTGGTCTGCTGCCTCGTCCCATGGAGGAGAACAGGTGCCAAAGACTAGTCCATATGGGAAAAATAAAATGTGCACGTATGGGCCTGCCTCTGTGAATGTCTAACTCTTCGAATGTGTAAGAGACTGTGGCAGCTGATAGAACTGTTCACACAATTTCCAGTTCTCTCTTGGGTACATGATAGGACTGTACTTCTCCAATGTGGCCCTGGGACTTCCTTTAGCCAACGCCATGTGAATGGAAGTGACCTCCGGCTAAGAGCTCTAACATCCAGCGTGTGATCTGCCACGTTCTTGCCTCAGGAATTGCGGAACTGTGTGTTGATGAGAAGCCTCCAGCAGGTGGCCACACAAGGCAGAGACCCCCGACAGCCCTCATGTAGCATGAGCAATCGCTCATTGGGTCATGCTAATCCCCTGAGACTTGGGGACTGTGTGTTACGCAGCACAGCCTCGCCTACGCTGACTAGCACAGAGCCTGAGAGTGCATGAGATGGACGAGTGGCACGTCTGTGTCCGTGTGGCCAAGAACACACGTGAGTCTGTAGCCATGTACAGGCTTAAGCGTGAAAGCATCAGCAACTGTATGCAACTGCACACATCAGTGTATAAAACAGGGACTGAGTAAGTCTGTGCAAGACTCTGCAGGTGGGTAAGAAAATGTGAATGTGAATGGCGAGGGACTGCATGCACAACTCCTGGGGGCACTGTTCTCAGAGAACACCACGTCCCCAAGAGTAGTGCCACTGTTGTACATATGAAAGTGTTATGACTACGGTGTGGGAGGCTATGTCTGAATGCACTGCCTTGGCTGGCTGGTAGTGTATTTGTGATGCGGTCTGTGCTTCTGTGTGTGTGTGTGTGTGTGTGTGTGTGTGTGTGAGGATTTGTATATGGCAGCTGTATCAATGTGCGTATTTTTGCGAAGCGTGTTGCTGTGTGTTTGAGGCACATGCATGGGTTTGTGTGCTGTGTGTGTGTATCTGTTGCAGTGTGAATGCATGAGCCCCTGTGTGTGATGAGCCTGTGTGAAGTGTAAGCGTCACTGTAGTCTCCATCAGAGTGGTCACAGTCAATACGGAAGGAGGGGAATTCCCTGGCAGTTCAGTGGTTACGACTCCAGTGGTTTCACTACCGGGGCCCAGGTTTGATCCCTGGTCAGGGAACTAAGATCCTGCAAGATGTGCGGCACGACCAAAAAACCCCGAAAAACAAAAACAAACAACAAAAAAAGCAAAAACGAAAACAAACAAACAAAAAACAGGGAGGGAGGGGAGGCTGGGCTACCCTGGGCATTCCCAAGCTGTCAGCTCTGCTGAACGTGTTTCTAGGCCTATGGGCCTGAGCTGGCTCCGACTTGGGTCCTAGGATGACCTGGCATCGGCAAATAAAATTCACTCCCCCTCATTAGTCCTGGGATATGCCGTGTCATTTACAATGGACATTAATCAAAGAGGTACTCACCAGTTAGAGCAAAGTGGCTCAACAGGTTGGGAGATCCCCCGAGGGCAAGCCTGCTCTCTCCAGCTTTCCCAAGAGAAGCCCATTTTCTGTCTGTATCTTCGTAAGCTCTGCTCTGGTCTCTCTAAGGATATGGGTTCAGCACTGGACCATCTCAGGACTCAGGTTCAACTCTTGTCTATCCCAGGACCAGGTTTTGGCCTTGTCTCTCTCAAACTCATATTGTAGCCCTGACTCACCCAGGACTTGGATTCATTCCTCGGCTCCTGTCTCAGGGTCAACCACGGAGTATCTTAAGACCTCAGGGGTGTATCTCTGCTCTGCCCCAGGACTTGAAATAATCTCCAGTCTCAGGACCTGAGCTGAGCCTGATCTATCTCAGAACCCAGCTTCCCCCAGATCTATCTTAGTATCTGAGCCCACCTTGCCCCAGCTCAGCTTTCAACAATAGGTGGGAAATCAACAGCTGAAGTTTCCTCTTCCTGGGCGTCTCCCCACTCATGGATCACTTCCCCCGCAAGTGCTCAGGCCTCTTGAATGAATGTCCACTGCAAATGATTGGTGTGTTCCAGGATTAACAAGGGTAGGGGGATTTTATTTTTCCAATGCCATTATCTAAAATTCACTAGAGTGGATTTTACGGGTCTTTCAAGGATTATTACAAGGCTTTCTTGATAAGTTATTACAAACAGCATTAATCTTCAAGAGTTGGGGACTTTACGAGAAACCATCACGAGTCTTACCTCATAAATATTGGAGTTGGACACCCCACTCCCCATCTTATCTCTCTCTAGGCTCATATGCCAAACCTCAGCACAGAAGTTCAGTAAGAGACGTGGCAGAGGGCTTTCTTCATGGGTGTGTACCATGGGGAAGGCCTGCACACCATCACGGGCAATTCCAGCTACATTGGAAGGCTCAAAACATTCTCCGTTCCCCTCCAACGTTCCCTGACCTCCCAGGGAAAATAAGAGCCATAAAATGGAACCCCCTCTTCTCCCCTGACATAATTTACAAACCTTTGCCCCATCCCAGCCCCTCCCTCCTGTTACAGTGGAGGAGCTGCCCTTCATCGTGTAAGGATCACGCAGCTTTTCTCGCCTTGGTCCTCTTCTGCCTTCTTATACAATGTATTGCATTTATCTGTCTCTTGTCTATACTTAGCTATCTATCATATTACTTGTCTTTATCTTACATATTTAATCTCTCCCTCTCAAGCGAACTTTCTCTTTTTTTCCCAAGGCATTTTATTTTATTTTATTTATTTATTTTTGGCTGTGTTGGGTCCTTGTTGCCGCACACGGGCTTTCTCTAGTTGCGGCGGGCAGGGCCTACTCTTCGTTGTGGTGCGCAGGCTTCTCATTGCGGTGGCTTCTCTTGTTGCTAAACACGGGCTCTAGGTGCTCAGGCTTCAGTAATTATGGCACGTGATCTCAGTAGTTGTGGCACGTGGGTTCAGTAGTTGTGGCACGTGGGCTCATTAGTTGTGGCTCGCGGGCTCTAGAGTGCAGGCTCAGTAGTTATGGCGCACGGGCTTAGTTGCTCCACGGCATGTGGGATCTTCCCGGACCAGGGCTTGAACCTGTGTCCCCTGCATTGACGGGCGGATTCTTAACCAATGCGCCACCAGGGAAGCCCTCTCATTGGATTTTAAATAAACTCAAGTCTCTCCTATGAAAAAACAAAACGCCTTACTTGACTCCTCCTTCCATCTGTCTACTGCTCCTCTTCTTAGTTGCCTACACTAACTGCC